TGTAATAACTTAATTTTATTTAATGCACTTTTAACTATTTACAAAGTACTGGCTAAGCCCTGTAAGGTATTTAAAGATGTTAGACAGGATCTCTGACCTCCAGGAGCTCTCTGTTTCATGGGGTTCACTAGTATTACAAATATAGATAATTCCACATCAATGCAGACTCTGACAAGCACTATGGTAGAAGTACGAGGTACTAGAGGGGTATAGAAGAGGAAGAGGCTAATTCTAACTGGAGGTTTTTAAGAGGGCTTTGAGGAAGATGCTGACTTTGAGTTGGACCTTGAAGGATGATAAAAGTAGGTAACATTTATCTAATGTTTACTAAATGCCAGCACTGTTCAAAGTGCTTTAAACTTATTAGCTCTTTTAATTATCACAATTAACTCTATAAGCCTTGTTATAATTCCCATTTTATAGTTGCATAACTGAGGCATAGTGTAGTTAAATAACTTGCCAAAGATCATAGAGTAGTAAGTGTTGAAGTCAGGATTCAGACTTAAGGAGTCTGTCACTGGAATGCTCATGTCAGAGATAAATAAGGTGTCACCAAACACATTCAAGCAGTAGGAACAGCTCAGCCACAATCATGGAGAAAAAAAAATTCAGGAATGCTTGGAAAATCCAAAGTCTACTAGTGTGGCTTGAACTTGCAGAAAGAAATGCAAGATGCTCACAGAACACATGTGGGGTTGGACTGTATAGGGCTTGAGAAGTCAGCCTGAGGAATTGCAGAAGGAGGAGAGGGCTGTGGGAAGGTTTTTGTTACAGTAAGACCTTGTGGATGGGTGGATTGAGTGACTGGAGGGAAGGACATAATTTAGGGATCCATTAATTAATTAAATTATTCAAAAACTATTTGCTGAGTTTTTCCTGTGTGCCAGGCACTGTTCTGAGTGTTGAAGACATAGCAGGGAAAAAGAGAGATGAGCCCCACGAGTCCCAGGGTGTGGAAAGCAGAGGGACAGTGTATAAATTAACAGATAAATAAGCAAGATAATTGTAGATAGTTCTGAAAGAAAGAAATTGGATGATGTGATAGAGAGTGGCCATGGGCAGAGGAATGGCCACTTTGGAATGGTGGTCAGGGAAGTCCTCGCTGAGAAAGTGACATTTGAACTGAGGCCCAAATGATAGCAGAGCCGGTCACGGGTGAAGGTAAGCAGGCACAGGTTCAGCAAAACAGGATTTGGGCTCATTAAAAAGAACAGTTGAGGCAGAGGTAACAGATGCAAAGCCTCTGAACTGAGAAAGAGTTTGGAGGGTTCAAGGGACAGAAAGAATGCCAAAAAGAAGTGCTTGGCCAAAGGTGGGGAAAAGAGTACGAGCTGAGGTTGGAGCTATAGGCAAGGCCAGCACCTTGCAGGTGAGAGTGGAGCATCTACATTTTATTCCAAATGAAGTGGGAAGTGATTGCCAAGTTCTAAGTAGGTGAATGACTTAACCTGCTTTATATTTTGAAAAGATTATTCTGGATAATTGTTTTAGCCCATTTTGTGTTGCTATAACAGAATTACCTGAGACGGGGTAATTTATAAAGAACAGAGGTTTATTTGGCTCACGATTCTGGGACAGCTGCATCTGGCACAGGCCTCAGGCTGCTTCTACTCATGGCAGAAAAGTGGCAGGCAGCTGGCGGGTACAAGCAGATCACATGGCAAGAGGAAGCAAGAGAGAGAGCTTCACCTCTTTCCTCTGTCTTTTATTCTCTCTGGACCCCCAGTGCATTGGATGGTTCCCACCCACACTGAGGGTGGGTTTTTCACACCCAGACCACTCAGACTCTCATACTAATCTCTGCTGGAAACACCCTCATGGACACACCTGAAAAGATAGCTTTACCAGGTTTCTCAGCATCCCTTCATCTAACCAAGTTGACATCTAGAATTAATGTTCACAAGTCCACCCCTTGTCAACTTGGTGTCCATACTATCTCCTTAAATCACACTTAATTTTCAAATGGTACAATAACATAGTTTCACCTAACATGATACATTATCCTGCATACAACTGGAAATGCATTAATCCCTTTCCAAGAAGAAAAAGGTAAAGTCCTTAAATGATATTTACCCTTCTCCCAATATACCGTAACTTAAAATTGCAAATACTATGAAGTAAGGTTAACAACACTTAAATGCTGGTATAAAGTCAGTAAGTCTCATGGTACATGGTAGAGAACAAGAGGAATAAAAACAAGGATAATTGCTTAGTATGTGCACAGTATATATACATAGAGACATGTTCTTAACACAACAGGGAGCACAATTACAATCCTCATTTGTGTAAATGGTCACGGGGTCGAAGCTGGTATTTATAACTTCCTTCTACTGCCCATTCTGTATTCCCTTTGCCTTCAGCAAGCACCTCAGCGGGCTGTGGTTCTTTACCTGCTGGAGTGATTTTCTGTTTTAGTAAGTTTTGTGTTGCTATAACAGAAACACCTGAGACTGGGTAATTTATAAGGAAAAGAGGTTTATTTGGCTTACGATTCTGGGACAGCTGCATCCGGCAGGGGCCTCAGGCTGCTTCTACTCATGGCAGAAAGCGGCAGACAGCCGGCAGGTACAAGCAGATCACATGGTGAGAGGAAGCAAGAGAGAGAGAGAGGAGGTGAGAGAGAGAGGAGGTGCCAGGGTCCTTTAAACAGTCAGGTCTCACGGGAACTAATAGAGTGAGAACTCACTCATTACTCCCCCCTCCCCCA